CCTCCTACCCTTCCCTCCTCCCTGTGTGGCTCCTCCTACCCTTCCCTCCTCCCTGTGTGGCTCCTCCTCCTACCATCCCCTCCTCCCTGGGTGGCTCCTCCTCCTCCCCTTCCCTCCTTCCTGGGTGGCTCCTCCTCCTCCCCTCAGTGACGGAGCACTTGCCTGGCACGTGTGAGGCACTGGGTTCGATTCTCAGCACCACATGTAAATAAATAAAATAAAGGTCCATTGGCAACTAAAAAATATTTTTAAAATATCCAGAGTCCAGAAGCAACCAGACATGTGCTCTGATCGTCCTCCCTCAGGGGGGTTCTGTAGACAGTGCTTAATCTCCCAGGAGTGTGCTCACTGTGGAAAGTCCTTCAGCCAGAGTTCTGATTTTGTGGCACATAAAAGGACACACACTGGGGAGAAGCCGTATGAATGCAGCTAGTGTGAAAATCCTTTATTCATAGCACTCAATTAATTAAGCATCTCCGGATTCACAGTGGGGAGAAGCCATACAAATGCACCTACTGTGACAAAGTCTTCACAGGGAGCACTCACCTGGTGGAGCATCAGAGAACTCATACCGGAGAGAAACCTTTTGAATGCCATCACTGTGGGAGAGCCTTCAGAGGGAGCTCCCACCTCCTTTCCCATCAGAGAATACATTCTGGAAAGAAACCATACAAGTGTAATGACTGTGGGAAATCCTCCTGGCAGCAGTCTCAGCTAATTGTGCATCAGTGGACACTCACTGGAGAAAAGCCGTATGGATGCAGTCACTGTGGAAAAGCCTTCAGCCTTCAGCCTCCCCTCCTTGCACATCGGAGGACACACAAGGCCAAGGAGCCCTCTCAGTGTGACCTGTGTGTTAAAGCCCTCAGTCAGAGGTCATGCCTCTCTGAACTTCAGAGATGCACACTGGGGGAAAGCCCTGTGAGTGTGCTGACTGTGGGAAGGCCTTTGGTGACCAGTTAACCCTGACCAAACGTGAGAGGACACACACTGGGGAGAAGCCTTAGGAGTGTGGCCACTGTGGGAAGGCCTTCAGCCAGAGTGTCAGCTTCGGAGGCATCAGAGGACTCATACTGGAGAGAAGCCCTAAGATGCACCTACTGTGGGAGAGCCTTCCGTCATAACACTTCCTTGATCCAACACGAGAAAACTTGCAGGCAAGAAACCTTATGATTGGTAGAGATGCAGGAATGGCATGCTGGGCCCTTGATGGAAAATCAGACCGCCAAGCTGTGGTCTCAGAGTAGGTCTGAGGACCAGATGCATCAAAATGCCTGGATTGTGTGCTGAAGCCATCACCACATTCACCAGGCCCCAAGGCACCAGCAGCAGAGCCCAGAAGCTACAGTTGTTTTTTTAAAGAGAGAGAGAGAGAGGAGAGAGAGAGAGAGAGAATTTTTAATATTTATTTTTCAGTTCTCGGCGGACACAACATCTTTGTTGGTATGTGGTGCTGAGGATCGAACCCGGGCCTCACACATGCCAGGCGAGCATGCTACCGCTGAGCCACATCTCCAGCCCAAAGCTACAGTTTTTGTAAGCAGCTCAGGTGACTCATTTGCACACTGAATCGGATATAGGGCTGCATTTAGGCAAGAAGCTGTGACTAGGGCCATCAGTGGAAAGCTTCCAACCAGAACTGATGGTGGGACTTTGGGCACTCCCCTGACTCAGATCCTGAGTGCGGATTGGAAGTCTTGCCCTTTTCACCCTGCACAAAGCATGCTCTTACCCCGGACCACCTGTGGAGCGCCCCATCTGCTTTGTCATGGCCTCTTCAAAACTGATGGCAGGCAAGGAGTGGGAGGCTGGAAGAGGACTCCACGTGGAAGAACCTGAGAAAGAACAGAGAAAGAGATATCTGGGGAGAACAAATATTTAAAATGCTTTTATTTCCTGGAGTGAGTCAAGAAAAGATTGCAAATACAAGGCAAAGATGCTTAGAAGAAAAGACAATGAGAACAAAAACAGACCCTGACATGCAAAGTAAGTCTTCAGGCCATGGAAGGTCCTGTCCAGGGCCGGTGAGAGGCACCTAGTGTGAAGAGGAGAACACCTCAATTAGACTTCTAAAGGGAACATGATCTTGAAACCAAGAAAAGAATTTTAAGAGAAATCAAATGTTTCTTCTGCCAAATTTTTAAAAAGAAAATCAGATTTCAAAGTAAACAAACTATACAAGAAAGTACAAGTTTAACAAGATGATTGTAATGCAAATGGGATGAGACTTTAGGAACTGAGTGCTTCTATCACCACTAGGATGATTCTGAAAGAGGCAAAGTTTTCACAAGATTAGAGTGAAAGAGGATGAGATTCAGTGACCTGTGTTCATCAGCCCTTTGGTGATAGGTGCTTGGATACATAGGATATAAACAGTAGGCTTTTTAAATTTTTAAGAAGAAACCCAGAGTGTGGTCTGAGGACTTTGTAATTGCAATGGTAGCATAGAGCACCCCGTTAGGCCTGTCACCTGTAGTGGTAATGCAGTCTGCAGGTTTGGCAACTACAGCTGCAAAGAGAAGTGCAGGGGAAGGTGACCCCTGCATCCTCATGCTTAGGAAGTAGTTTTTAGTTGTGGGTGGACACAGTATATCTATTTATTTTTATGTGGTGCTGAGGATCAAACTCAGTGCCTCACATGTGCAAGGTGAGCACTCCACCACCGAGCCACAACCATAACCCCAGGAAGGAGACCTTTAATATAGTATGTACTGTTACTTCAGAGACCAAAATTAGAGCTCAAAATAGTACTATAATAAAAGTTGGTTACAAAAAAAGAGGAGCAGCAATTGGAGTCCAGTCCTTGTGTCATAGAGCAAGAAGTCGAAGAAGCCTCAAGGTGATCAGAGTTACAGTGGTTACCAGTGGCCAAGCAGATGACAAACTGCAGTAGGAAAAGGAGAGGCCTGCCTTCCGCCCACACCTAAGGCATCTCATTCCCAGTGCTATTCTTAGTTGGGCAACTAACAAAGTACTTACACAGTGCGTCAGTACACCAGCCATTGGCTCGTGTGATTATGCCCAGTTTTCTTCTTTTGTTTCAATGTCGGTGTAATAATAGTAATTTAACAAAGTGTCAGTCAAAAGCAAAAAGAAAAACTCACTCCTCTGCCAAGCAAGGCTTGGTTCCAGAAAGGCAAGAAGGCTCCTTGGCTTCTTAGTGCCCCTATAGCTAAAAGGAGTGGTTTATTCTTTTAAGACTCTGTTTCCCAGGGGGATGAGGTTGTGGCTCCGTGGTAGAGTGCTCATCTTGCATGTGTGAGGCCCTGAGTTCAATCTTCAGCACTACGTAAAGATAAATAAAATAAAGGTACCATCTCCATCTACAACTAAATATATATAATTTTTTTTTTAAAAAAGACTCTGTTTCCCTGGACTCCTATCAGGAGGAGGGCAGTGGATCCCAGAGAGTGGAGAGTTGGTGCCCTGGGGTGACAGGGACAAAGCAGCTATGTTCATTTGCATAACCGCAAGGTGATAAAGGCACTTCTGTCCCAGCGGTATGGTCGGGAGGTTGAGGGGGCTAGTCCTGCCTGCCTCACAGGAGAGTGCTCATTGCCAGCAGCAGGCCTGAGCTAGATGACCCCAGAGAATGGAGGGTCATGCAGATGAAGCCACGTGTACGAGGGTTGTGGGAGGTGAGTGGAGGTCACCCCTCTGTAGAGACTCTGGCCTAGATGTGGCTAGCAGTGAAGGCCACTGAAGTGAACAAAGCCACCTGATCTGGAAAGGCACACCCCTCACCCACTGGACTGGCAAGGACTTGCTAGACTGAAAAGGCCGTATCATGCGTTGGTCAGATGACATGCTCACAGGGGACAGAGGCAGAATGTCCCCAGAGGCCCTTGTCTGGGTGTGAAGAGCTTTTGAAGGCCAGGTGTGGTGGTGCACACCTGGAATCCTAGTGGCTTGGGAAACTGAGACAGGAGGATTGCGAGTTCAAAGCCAGCCTCAGCAACTTAGCGAGGTGCTAAGCAATGCCTCTAAATAAAACACAAAATAGGGCTGGGGTGTGGCTCAGTAGTCAAGTGTCCCTGAGTTCAATCCCCAGTACAAAAAAAAAATAGCTCTCCAAGGTCCACTCCTCAGAACAGGCAGCTCCTTCTGTTCTGGGGCAGGTGCACGCTGGAGTGCATCCCAGTGGGCGAGGCTTGCCCTGCATGTGAAAGGCACAGCCACAAAAAGAAAAAAGAATAAACCACAAAGGTTGTAAATGCCTTGAACTTCTAGAAATTCCAACTGAAAAGTGGTATACTTACTAGGAAAAAGGACAAGTCAACCATCATTTGGGGAAACTGAAACAGGGACGGCACAGGCAGCCACCCCTGAGTTCAGTGGACATTCAAACGGAGGTGCTCTGGCCCCCACGTGGGACAACAATGGGTGTTTGGTTAGGTCCGTGAATTTCTGCTGGTGGGGACCCAGGTAAGGTCTTTTGTCTATCAGCAAGGACTTTGATGCCCTGAGGCGTTCCCCCAGACTCTGGTTTGATGGTGAGCTCTTCCTGTTCCTTCCTCTGTCTGCCGAATGCCTGGAGGTCTTCCGGACCTGTCCTCCTGGCCTCCTGTCTCCTCCTCTACATCCCCATCTGTTTATGACACTCCTTCTGTGGTGAACTACTTCCCTGGTTCTCAACAAAAAACTTCTTCTTTTCCAGTTTTTCGACTGAGGTTCTTAACTTGAAAGTCGCCTTTTAGGTCCTGAGAGCCTCTGTTCTCTAATTGGATCCCAGTAATAGATGAGTTTGTGACAGGTGGATTATATCTCAATAAAACGGTATAAGTAGCCACTTTGGGCTGGGGAGGGGCTCCGTGGTAGAGCACCTGCCTAGCATGTGGGAGACCCTAGTTTCAATCCTCAGCACCACATAAAGATAAATAAAGGCATTGTGTCCATCTACAATTAAAACATATTTTAAAACAAACAAAAAAGTAGTCACTTTATTTGCAAATGCATAAAACGTCTCCAGAAGGACACCAAAGAACTAAACCCAGTGGCCGCTGAGGTGCAGGAAGATGGCACGGAGTCCTTTCTGTCTTCCGTAGGTCGAGCCATGGTGATGTGTGATTCTAAAGCATACTTTCACACTTTTCCAAACAGTAGGGCCACTGTAGTGGAAACAGGAAAGGGCTACAGCAAAAGACTTCAGAGAACATAAGCTTCCAAAAGCCTCTTTTGCTATTTTTATGACAAACATTGTGAAATTAGTGGCTGATGGCGTCCTACATCTTACATTCTGGGCTGAGCAGGATCAATCGGGTGGTTCTCACGTCGCATTTCTCATAGTTTCTACCAAAGGCAGCAGGAGCCATAAGCAAGGGAAAGCTCTGCTGTCCAGCACGGCACTTTCAGGCTATCAGTGCGGCTGGCTGCTGTCAGAGCTCGGCTGTCCCACGGTACCCGCCTCATACCTTGGGCCCCGCTTCCTGAGGCTTACCCTCACGCCGGGCCCCTCCACGTAGCTTTGGCTGCTCTTGGCGTGATGGCTGGATCGGGGAATAGCATTTTAGTAGACCCTGGTAGAACCTGTGACATGAGTTGCACCATCCAGACTCTGCAGGGCTATTGACATATCCTCAAAAGACACATGTCACCTCTACCACATCTTCTTAACCAAGCCATCAGGGCCACCCAGAGTCCAGGGGAGGGAAAACAAATTCCACTTCTCCATGGAAAGCGTCAGAAATCGTGTCTGTCTTTAATCCACCACAGAGCCTCCATCGCTGGATGAGGAGTAACAGAGAAGGAAAGTTCTAGATTTATCCTCAATCTAAGATAACGAAAACTGGATGGACGGAGGTGACACCCAAAGGGGTAAGCTTGAGGCATAAAGGCAATAAGTGTGCCTTTGGACAGGTTCAGATTGAGGCACCCAGGGAATATCAAGGTGAAGCTGCTTGCTTGACAGTTTTGCCAAGGAAAGGGGGAAAACCAGGGTGTATTCCTCTGGCTACTTTACATCTTACAAGAGAGAAGTAAAACTGTTCTTTTACCATCTAGAGCTTGGCACTGGCTGCGGTCTTTGCTTGGGACATTGTAGTAACCAGGTTTCCCTCACTGTTACAAAATATCTGAGAAATACAACTCAAAAAG